ATATAGTTTATATAGGGAAATAACACTTTTCGGTATATATTTTATCCATTTTCAGCAGAAAATTGCTCAAACTTAGTCAGAATCATCTTGGGTAAATGAGAGTTTTACTTTGTAAAATTAGGATTCCTGCCCCATCCCCAGGGGCTAGGGCGGGGCCCCAAAGGGAACATTTACCAATATTTTCAAATTCTTATCCATTGATGACATGACAAGTATTGTATTTCACTTAGTTTACATGCTGATTTCCACATCACATCTAAACAATAAAATAAAGCTACCAGTATCTATGATATAACTCAGGTGACCGCTAAGGCCCTTGGGCCTCTTGTTTGTTGATATAATTCAGTCCTCCGATTTGTCCGGTGTAGAAGCTGTCAGACAACAGTGAGAATTTACTTGCTAATTATGAACAGAAAGCTTTTAAAGATGACAAATCATTCATTCAGTGAGTGTTTTAGTACATGTTTGAATGTCCTGTTGGTATAAGTGCCCTGGCACTGACCTGTTTGTATCAATAATTGTTCCATGTTATTTGGTGTACACAAAGTGGTTGCACAAAAGCATGATTACACAGCAAAATAAAATAGAACTTGATATGCATACCGCTCACCTGGTATAAATCTCACACTTGTAATCTTAAAAGTGGACTAAAATACAGTTACAGGCAAAATATCAGTGTTTCATTCATAAGAACCTATTAAAAGATTTAAACATATGACACCTGTGACCTTGAATGTGGAATAAGGACATTATAATATTAGGTTGAACAGAGTTTATAGTCTTCCAACCCAGCATGTTTCTGAAAAAATATCATTACCCTGGACCTTTTGGTTATACAGAACAAATCATTTTAAGATTTAAACATATATTGACCACTGTGACCTTGAATATGGGCGAAGGTCATTCACATGGTAGTCCTTCATCCCAGCATGTTAATGGCCAAATATCATCACCCGTTTTGCTTATTAAGAAGATGTCATTCAATTGTTTTAAACATATTTGACCCCTGTGACCTTAAAATATATATGTTAAGGTCATTCATTTGAACTTGGTAGTCCTTCATCTCGGCATGTTACTGGCATTATCCTAGGCCTTTTGGTTATTCAGAAGAAGTTGTTTAAAGGTTAAGAACATATTTGACCGTGACCTTGAAAAAAGATGAAGGTCATTCATTTGAACAAACTTTATAGCCCTTCATTCCAGCATGCTCCTAGCCAAGTATCATCACCCTAGGCCTATTGGTTATTCAGAAGAAGTTGTTTAAATGTTCAAAACATATTTGCCCTCTGTGACCTTGAATATAAGTCAAGGTCATTTATTTGAACAAACTTGGTAGCCCTTCATCCCAGCATGTTACTGGCCAACTATCATCACCCTAGGCCTCTTGGTTATTCAAAAGAAATTGTTCAAATGTTTTTAACATATTTGACCCCTGTGACCTTGGATATAAGTCAAGGTAATTTATTTGAACAAACTTGTTAGCCCTTCATCCCAGCATGTTACTGGCCAAATATCATCCCCCTAGGCCTCTTGGTTATTCAGAAGAAGTTGTTTAAAGATTTTAACCTATTTGACCCCTGTGACCTTGAAAACTGATGAAGGTCATTTATTTGAACAAACTTGGTAGCCCTTCATCCCAGCATATTACTGCCCAAATATCATCACCCTAGGCCTCTCGGTTATTCAGAAAAAGTTGTTTAAAGGTTTTAAACATATTTGACCCCTGTGACATTGAATATAAGTCAAGGTCATTCATTTCAAATATTATCACCCTAGGCCTGTTGGTTTTTCAGAAGAAGTTGTTTAAATGTTTTTAACATATTTGACCCCTGTGATCTTGAAAATTGATGAAGGTCATTTATTTGAACAAACTTGGTAGCCCTTCATCCTTTTGGTTACTGAGAAGAAGTTGTTTAAAGTAAAAAGTTGACGCCGGACGGACGACGGACGCCGCACCATGCCATAAGCTCACTTGGCCCTTCTGGCCAGTTGAGCTAAAAATGTATATTATTATGGGGATTTTTGTGAAATGATTTGATATATATGAAAATCAACATTTCCCATTTTAACCATCCATCATACATGCAATCCTACACTTTATATAACTTCCATGCAAGTAGTTCCAGAGAGGTTACAATCACAAAAAGGCTTGCAAGCCAAGACTCAAATTCCCAGCATTTTCCATACAACTATTTGTCTAGCAATCAGACCATGCCTGTAATAAACTCACCCATATACATATAATATTGCAGTTAAAGTAAAATAATCAACTGATTCTATTTCATTATACTGTATGTGAAAAGCCCATCCCCTATGTTGGCCCAAAATTAAGTTATGTGCTGGCCCCATGGGATTGCTGAAGATATGCATGCATGACTTGATATTTTTTTCCATTGCAGTAGACCACAGCCATGTCATACATCACTTGACACATTACCAGTAGCTGGTGATGTGTTTGATATCCAGCAGGATGATGAAGATGATGAACTGCTAGAAGATGAAGGAAGTGTTGTAATGGACAATGAAGGAGATGCAGTCAATGAAAAAAAGATCATCTGCTTTGAGAAATGTTTGTTGGAACTGGCAGCTATAAGGATGCCATCTCACTGTCGGAGGAAGAGCCGCCATGGAACCATCAGCATCAATAGCAGATGTGTTGGATGTGCAGTACAGTTGACCTGGGTAAGTACAATTATGAAAGGAAGAAATCAGAATTTGTGTCATGATAAATGCACATATGCTGAATTCATATTTGTTTCTCATTTTCAAAATATAAGTTCCAGTAGTTATATGTAGATTATATGATTTTTACTTGTGCTTGAGGAAGAACTACAGTTTATAAAAAGAATGTACTGCCACACCCCTTCACATGTTATGTGAACGCTACAGTTTTGGTGACATAGCTACTGGTTTATAAATTTAATAGCATACCTGTGTTCAGAGTATAATGCATTATGAAGACGTACGGCAGATGTTGAATATCACATTGGTTATCTCGTGCCGGAGTAAGGTACATATTGCATAAGAACAGGTGATGTGTGCATTTTGTGAACGTTCATCTATGAATTACCTGTACCATTAGGGTCAGTCTGCAATCATCTGTAATACAATAACCTCAGTTGTATCACCTGTGAAGTTGGAAAAGGTATCAAATCACTCTTTCTTTGCTGTATGAACTGCTATTACAGACTTTTTTGCTGCATGTTCATATATTTTTCAAAATGTTTTTTTGTTCAGACTTGCTCAAATGGACACCATGTCCATACCTGGAATTCCCAACCCAAAATTAAGAAGTTTTTTGTTGGCAATGTCTTGATGTCAGCTGGAATTCTCATGAGTGGAAACAATTTTCAATTGTTTTCCCTTTTGGCCAAATTTCTCAACCTGGGAATGATCAGTTCCACAAGTCATCTGCGTGTGCAACGC